CCCAGCGCCACTTTGTCCACCACAAATCCCACTTGACCAGACCCCGGCATCGAACCCGGGCCGCCGCGGTGGGAAGCCAGCTTGAGCTATGGCGCGGCCCTGAGTTCTACTAACTTCAGGATTATGCGTGTTTTCTTTGCAAGTGTATACAGAATACCAAGTCTATATAGGGCTCAGTTAAATTTTCCCACAGTCCTGTTGCGTGCGGTCCAGACTGGACGTGGACATAGAACGCAACACGATAACGGCACACACAGCAGCCAAGGGATGAAGGAACAACTGCGAGTTGCGGTCAATGCATCCCACTGCCCATTAGACTAAAGATCTGGACGTGGCGGTGACAATAATCCTTTTCTCTGCGTAGAACAGAACGCCAGCAGTTCACGTTACTGACTGAGCTATGCCACCTTTCAAATCTGCAACGCATAAAATCTTCCGTTTATATTTGTATTGTCACGTGTTGGGTATGTCACGCGACAAATAAATTCACGTGGGTCTCGGATTCAGCGAATCTTTATTGGACATTCACTCTTACACACCTTACAGTTATTATCGCTTGTGGTATCACTTGACTTCTGGCGACTACGTTCCAACTGTGCTGTATGAAGGCTGCGTTCCAACTGTCGTCGGCGGCGGCTGTCCCAATACTGTGTCCTTCGGCGGCTATTTCCAGACTCTCTTATCGAATGTATTGTCTTCTTATCTGCTGCCGTTGCTATGCATTGAACCTTCTGTTGTAACCGTGGAGACTCCTGTTAGAATTACAATACCGCTATTGTTATTTCCTACGCAACGGTCTATTCTACCGTTTCCATGGAAGTATCTCTTCTGGGTTCCGAACATGTGACAGTATACTTCCACCCGGTTAGAAGCCCTGCCACTATTACGAGCTGGTCACGGTTCCCGCGTAGTTGAAGGAACACAGGGGAGCGGATGTTGGTTCACGTTTCTCTGCAGTGTAGTACACAGGTACACGCCTTGTGATGCTGATCCACCAAGCAATAAATCCTACGGTGTATCAGAAAGATTTAGTAACCCGAAGCTGATTCCGACTCTCGGCGTCAATCACCCGATGCCTGGGTGGTTCCAAACACAGTGCGCAAAGAAAAGCACGAGGTATCAGGAACTGGGCGCATGCCATTACTCTTCAAGCACCCGATGGTCCAAAACAAAGTGCACATTTATTTGGGGAACGAAACAGCTCGGTCGGTGTAGCGACAGGCTACGAACTGGACGGCAGGGGCAAGAGGCTTGCCAGTACTCCACAGCGTCCAGATCGGCTGTCCTATCCAACGGAAACCGAGGGCTGCTCTATTTGGCTATTACTCGTACGTAACGACACGAAGTTCTTTCTAGAGTTCTATGTACAATAGTTACACGTATGCAGTCTTCAATAATAAGTTACTATGAACACTGATCCTGTTACCCTAGCACTTCCAAGACTCAAGAACCCAGAACCCAGAATGGAAGAGGTATGAATACTTGACTGTGATTTCCTGTATCCTCTCATAGCAGAAAAATTGAGACGAGCTGATCTCCAAAGCAGAACACCATAAGACAAGCCTAAAATGTTTCATAGCCGCAGAACACCAAAAGGCCACTGGTCTCGGAGTCCAGTTAATGAAAATGCAACAAAAATATTAATTCAAGCTAAATTTCGTCCAAATCCGTGAACAGCTGATACTGACAGACGGCTGGTCGACAACAAAATGAACACAGGACGTGCACTACTACTGTGTACATCGAACGTGACAATAAACGGGCTCTCAAAGCTGTGATAACCGTTTATTCGCTATGTAATTAATTTTGAAACCACTATATTATAATCATGTATCGTCCAGTAGCAGCGCCGTGTAGAGGGAATTAACTCTAGGCCATTGTATGTTAAACCATCCGCCATTTTATTTTAAGATAACGTAAATTGAAGCTTTCGAAGTGCAGCAATTCTAATCACTGAAGAGATTATATTGTCACAAAAGCTGTATGTGAGTGTCGGATGACGGGGGAGCAGTTAAAGATCGGCGGACAAACCAGAAGCCCTGCCCACACACCCGGATACAGCAATACGTACACCACTGCATCTGAATTCGACCAAAGCACACATGGCGCAAACATGGAACATCTATTGGTATAATTGCACAGAGGCATTCAAGCATGTAAATATTACGATCACGGTTTCTTGAAAAATTTACAGTAAAAGTAAAGTCTCCCACTCAGGGTATCTATGTTTGTGTGCGTTTTTCTGTGTTTGTGTACAGGTAGAGGCCTTGCGACGAGCTGATCACCCACCCAAGGAGTCCTACCGTATGTCTAAGATCTAGAAAAACCGAAGTGAACGGAGAAGTTCATGGAGGTAGGCCTAGGC